GCCAACCTAGCAGTTTGAAAGCATGCCAGTGCAAGTAGGTACCACTGCTTTACCTTTATCTTAACAACAACATCTGGGGCCCAAGGCTGAGAAAAGCTGCATTAGACTGATACTCTTAGGGTTGCTGACCTTCTACCTTCCTTCTACTTCATCCTCACCTTGGGAGAGGAGTCTTTTGTGTCTCTCCTGCTGAGATGCCAGAGCTCAAGGTCTCCCCACGTTCGTTAGACAGAACTAGGATCTCTCCTCTGAAGCGTCTTTTCTTGTAATAAATGTAGCTTTCTTATTTCTCCTAAGCTGAGAGTCTCCGCGTGATTATACCCATGGTGAAGTGTGTTCCTCCAACAGGGATTCAGTATCAAGTTCAACTTCTGCTGAGCATTTTAGCTCCAAACACCAGCACTTACCTGAGATATACCAGCGCTGATGCCGATTGCCACTCCATCCCTTTGAAAAAGCATTTAGAGGGCTCAAGTGCACCGTGCAGTACAACAAGGATGCTCTAGATGCCTCCTCCACCTTCATTTCTCCAAGGTGTGGAGAACTGGGCTTCTTTGGGATGAAGGGCAGGATAGAAATTTAATAAATAACAAATAAATAGAATTAAACTGAAGATAGCAAGCTCCTTGGCTGTTGTTCTCTGCCCCTTCAGCAGACAAGCTCTCGCTACCTTTTCCTGCAAGTTTCACATTTCCTCCCTGCCTCTTTGCTGGGGAAACCTCAGTTATGTTATCGCTGGAACTTGCCACATAATATGGAGGACAAAGGAAAGGACGGAACTTGCCCCATTCAGCAAGTCAGGGCTGTCTTCCCCGCTGCCAAGAAGCACTTTGCAAACAAAGGAGATTAAAAAATAAATACAAGCAATAAAGCTCACCTGACAGTGTCCTTTTAAATTACCCCTTTTTCCTGAAAACCTACAATAAATCGCACGCACAAGCCGTAAAAGTACCTGAAACGCTCTTTGAAAGATTTACAGGCACCTGACTCCTATGCTCAATAAAGTCAACATGCTGCTTGCAAGATAATTTCTCATCAGCCATATTTCAGATTTCCTGAACTCCCTTCAGTCAACCAATCCCAAGTAATACAGCATTGCCAGCCCATCTGAATTACAGCTACTTAAAGCTAACAAGCCCAACTGATTTATAGGCACTATCTGGGATCTTATCCCTTTCTGCCAGCTTTCCGGATCCAATGTCCTCCTCAACCCACCCCCCACCCAATTTGATCAAATGCCAGCGGATTATCCGACTTTCCCAGAGAAAGTAATCTAGCCAATAATCTCTCAATTGGTTCAGGAACTCCATTCTGGATACTATAGTACCTAGTTAGAGGGAGATGGTGGCTTTCTCAGGCTAACATGTGGAGGTTGTCCGTCAGCAAAAGCACAAATATAGGAAGGACTGGAACGTATTGGACTGTGGCTTGCAGTCAGAAATGTTTTGGTGATGGTGTGTGTGTGTGTGTGTGTGTGTGTGTGTGTGTAAGTGTACACTGGGAAGGGGAGGGCTGAGTTCATCATCAGTCGATGTGAAACTGCAAAACAAACCAAACCAATTCAACCAACCAACCAACCAACCAACCAACCAAACAGATATAAGACTGAGGTGTTTGAAGTTATTGAATTTACTGGGAAGTGGGGGCTGATGTAATCCTAAAAGTGCTATCCCTCTGTGGTTATGGCACCAGTTGTTCTCTGCATTTCTATACTGCCCCCAAGAAAACCAGAACAGTATAGAGCAAAGGAAGTGAGCATTGGGTTCAGGGCAGGGGTGGGGATGGCCCCCCATACCTATCTGGCCCTCAAAATGCTCCCCAGTTCACACCCCTCACTGGCCCTGCTTTCCACTGGCCCTGCTTTTTCCTGGCAGGACTGTCTCCTTAAATTCTGATAATTCTTCATGTTAGCCTGGATGGAAGCTACAGAGCATATGTCACGGCACTGTCAGGCACCATAGGCTCCAACTCGATTGGGGCTGAGGACACCTCAGCTCCCTCAAAGTTGGGACAGGACTGACTCCCCCCTATCTTGAGGGACCGGGCCTTGCTGAGCCTCCCTGTGGTGGCAGTTCAGGATCAGAGCTGTCAGCCTCAGGGCCTCAGTCCTCTGCCCTGAGAGTCATTCTCTAGATAACCATCCACCAGTAGCTCTGCCTACTGCAGCTGCTCTCCTATAGCTGTATATGTGTTGGTCATATGCATGGCTGATTCCTCAAGTGTTCAGTCTCTCTCAAACGCACACATACAGTTACTGTGCATGCCCGCACAGGAGGGAGAACGAAAATGGAGATGATAGTTGGGCTGGGAGCGTGCGGTCTATGCTTGGGTGAGATTGGAAGCTAGCACGACTGGAAATAATTAGAACGATTAATTGCTTGCACGACAGGAACCAGGAACTGATGGCAATTTCTTTCTCTCTCTCTTTGCAGAGTTAATTAGGAAGGGGAGGCCTGTGGAACAGACAACCAGGATGTGACCAGTCAGATCAGTTGCAGAAAACAGGAGTTCTCCCAGGTGACCCAGACAATGCTTTCTTCCACGTGACAACTGCGGAGCTGTCGGTGGTTGTGCAAGAGGATCCAGAAGGTTTTCTTGTAGACTGTGATCCCCTCTTCAGGGATATCACATTTCCCTGGCACATATAAGCAAGGCGTTTGCCGCCAGACACAAGGGCGGAGGCCCACTTGGGTGCTTTGGAAAATAACAAGACAATGTCCAACGCACTTTGAAGGGCGGCTAATTCAATTCGGGGTCTGAATCAAAATCTTGAGCTGGAAAACAAGCTAATCTTCATGCTTGCCTCACTGCAGATGCTAGCAAGGCTATAGCTTCCTCCTCCTGCATGCATGTCCTATCATATGCATCTCTCCTACTTTGGTATGAACATAGTTTTTTGAAGTCTGTGTGCTTCCCCTCTGCAGTGCTGGACTGCATATTTAAATATAGAGTCTATGTGTGTGTAGACTCTGTGTCAAACAGTTGGATCTATGCATGGAGGTTGAGCCGTGGCTAGAGGTGGGTGAGAACTTTTATTCAGTTTGCATTGAAAGGTGAGCCCGCCTAATCCACACTTTTCAAAACATTACGCAAAGAGAAACACAACTATCTTTTGAAATTTCACCTGCCCTGAATTTTTCAGTGCAGTTCTCCTGCAAAGCATTGCATACAAAAATGCATATACTTAAGTAAAGTGTGCCCACAAATGCATATATTAGTGAAAGTAGCATACAAGAGCACACTATAATAGGGGAAATAGCTTTGCGAAAATGTGTATATTAGGCGAAGTTGCATACAAAAATGTGTACGTTAGAAGAAATTAGCACTAAAATGGTGATGAATTTTCACGAGGATTCGCAAACTGATGTGGAAGTGTGGGCCAAGGAACGTATTTATTTATTTATTTATTTAGAGCATTTGTACCCCACACTTTAGCCATGAAGGCTCCCAGAGTACCTTGCATACGATCAAAACAAGACTATCCCTGCCCACACACTTGCAATGTAAAAACACACACAACACAAATGGGAAAAGGGACATGGAGGAAAGAGGAAAATGAAGATCAAACTCAGGCACCTGTTTGTTCCTATAATGACCAGCTGGCACAGTTCAGGGGCAAGTGGTGCCTGATGAAGCTGGGACTCCAGAAAACCTGAAGAAGAAGAAGAAGAAGAAGAAGAAGAAGAAGAAGAAGAAGAAGAAGAGTTGTTTGGATTTGATATCCCGCTTTATCACTACCCTAAGGAGTCTCTAAGCGGCTAACATCCTCCTTTCCTTTCCTCCCCCACAACAAACACTCTGTGAGGTGAGTGAGGCTGAGAGACTTCAGAGAAGTGTGACTAGCCCAAGGTCACCCAGCAGCTGCATGTGGAGGAGCGGGGAAGCGAACCCGGTTCACCAGATTACGAGTTCACCGCTCTTAACCACTACACCACACTGGCTCTTCTTCCTATGTCTCCCACTGAGGCAGCCTGATGGAATGGCTGCTCCCAAGAAACCAAGGAGAAACTAGCAGATTTACCCATCCTCAGCTTGGACCTGCAGTTGTGGTCCTGATTCTTCTCTCCACGCACTGCTGGTACCCTCTGTTGGTCGAGTAAACAGGGCTCAGATCGCAAGGCCTTGCATTTGATTCGAAAACCTTTTTTGGATGCTACAGTTGTCAAATGGAAATAACGAACTCATTTCCCATTCCGGACCATCTCTCAACCCAGAAATGTCACTTTTTAAAAACTTCTCAGTTGAAACGCTTAGTCTTGCATCCCAAACATGGAAACTCTGGTTGTTTCATGTTTCGATGTGAAAACCCATCTTAATATATTCTCAGCGTTCAGATGTGACAAAAGGAAGATAAATTAATTCAGAGAGCTAAATATAGCTTAAAATTGCTGGGGTTGGTTGAAATGTATAGGCCGGGTGTCCACAAGAAATGGCGATGGGGAGAATGGTAAGCAGAAAGTGGCTCTTTTAGATATTTTATGGCGGGGGAGGGGGGCAATTAGATATTTTATTTTATTCCTAGGTAGGGAGGTGCATGGGGTTTGTCTGAATCCTGGATTCAGAACCAAATACATCTGATTTGGGTCCACTCAGCTGGATTGGGTTGAGACGGCTCTTGATTTCCCTGGGTTATATCAGATTCGCCCAAAGTAATTCAGAGCTATCAAATGGTGTTATCTGGTGTTGGGGGTGGGTGGGGAGGAGGAGATACAAAGGCAGTCTGCATGCATCTCCTACTCCCCTTCCCACCCACATGTTTAATCAAGGTTTTAAACTCTAAATAGGCTTATGGTTGAGAGAGGGGAGATGGAGATACCTATCTCCTTCTCTCGCCCTCCTGACCACATGGCTGTGCAAGGCCCTTGAATGAGCTCAGGGCTGAAATCCAAGTAAGGTCAGATCTGGGCAACTCTGAAGCAATGTGTCAGCTGGTAGTGGTGGTTGCTTGTGAGTAACCAGGCAGGACTCTGACCTGTCTTTTACAGGTTTTATTGTGCAAAGTGAAGCTGAGACTCCAATACTTTGGCCACCTCATGAGAAGAGAAGACTCCCTGGAAAAGACCCTGATGTTGGGAAAGATGGAGGGCACAAGGAGAAGGGGACGACAGAGGACGAGATGGCTGGACAGTGTTCTTGAAGCTACCAGCATGAGTTTGACCAAACTGTGGGAGGCAGTGGAAGACAGGAGTGCCTGGCGTGCTCTGGTCCATGGGGTCACGAAGAGTCGGACACGACTAAACGACTAAACAACAACAACATTGTGCAAACTATTTACAGTGCAGATCTACCAAGTCCATGTCCATCTCAGTCACTTGCAGAATCCGGGAGGTGCCCTTCCGGCTTCTTCCCCAACATAAGAACTTCGGCACCCCAAGCCTCCTCCTCCCCTCTTTGCATTTCACTCCTCTTCACAAGGTGGGCGACTGAAGTGGCGTGCATCCCTCCTGGCCAGCCTGGCGAGGTGAGGTGCTGGGCTCTCAGCAGCATCCTTGAGCCTTTTCCCCGCTTGGCTGGCCCCTTCCCTCTCTTCTCCACTGGAGGTGTGGCTTTTCCCATTGCTGGAAGAGGAACTGCTCCTCAGGAGTTTTGGAGGCTCTCTGTATCCCAACGACCCCCCTGTCTCCCTCCCCTGTTCCGATGGCAGTCCCCTGACACAATGAATTTGGCCCCAGATCAGAACATGCCCCTCATGTTGAGCCCCAATGTATAGCAGTGCTTGTACATGGTGGCCATTTGTCATGCTTTACAGAGGATAGACCTCTGTTTGAAGGGCTGTCAGAGGAAAGTCATCTCTTTGAAGGAGATCTCCAAGTCCAGTTTAGAAACAAAGAACCTGAGAAGGGAAAGCAGGAGAGGCCCTGAAGTTGCCCTATCAACAGTGAGAAGCACCTGGGCAGCAGACTAAGCAGGCACAGAGGTCACCAGGTCATCTTTCCAATTATGGCAAAATATTTTGCATTTCAATTTTAATTACAGTAATTATGTCAGAATTTGCATTGATCAATATTAAATTGGCAGGTACAAATTTTATGCAAATATGTCCTCTCTCTCTCTCTCTCTCTCTCTCTCTCTCTCTCTCTCTCTCTCCAGTGTTGTAAGTGGCCACTCTACTTGTAAAAAACCCCCCACTTTGCCCCTCTATGTTCCTCTGCTAGTCAGTTGGCAGCTGCTTATTAGCACATGTTGGCTGCCATGCCGTAGAGACACCGTTGCAGACCAAGTCGTGGTTTTCATGCTCACGACATCCGCTGTGTGATATAAAGGAAAAGAAAGCCATTCTTTGTGCTGTGTGCAGACTGGTTTTTAAAGCCAAGTGCTTTGCATTTTACAGGGTGGAGTGTCACTAAAGTCTTAATGATCATTTTAGTGCAGTAACTGAAGTATCCACTGATTTTTAAAAAACCATAAATCCTCTGAGCATGGCCTGTGTCTTCCTGGTGATTCATGGCCTGCACGCTTTCTGCCGGCAATAAAAGTTTCTGTGATCTTATTTTATGTGCTGCGGTTTGGCACCAGAAGCATATCCCACTAGCTGGAGGTACAAGGGGAGAGGAACTTTCAGGGGTACGATTAGATAATGGCAATGAATGAAGATGAAGATGCTGATGCTGATGATGCTGATGTTGATAATAATAATAATAATAATAATAATAATAATAATAATATTAAAAACAGTCAAAAACAGGTGCTTTGAAACATCCAAATCAACAATAGCTAAAAGGAAACAAAACACATGCAATTTCTACATCTCTGGATAGGTTTGCCGAAACAAAAATGTTTCAAGCAGACACCAAAATAGAGTACAGTCAAATTGCAACATACATAGAGGTTCTGTTCCAAGCATTCCATGCATATGTGAAAATCACAGATAAGACGAAGCTACTTTTTCCTTGGATGGCAAGCAGGGAAGCTGTGGTGGGAGTTCTTCCCTGTATCTCTGCTGTCTCTCCTCACTTCTCTATGTGCCTGTGATCGGCAGAAGGGAGGAAGAAGTACGTGGGCAGAGAAAGTTGCAGGCAGAAGAAAAGGGCTGGGACAGATCTGGACCCAGGAGCAGCCCAAAACCGTGTTATAAGAAGCGATAATAACAATACACTCCAGTAGGGTTGGCAGACCTCCAGGTCTGACCTGAAGTCTGTAGGTTTGTCTGGACCCCTTCAGGTGGCATGCAGAAGGGTTGAATCTCCTGGTGGGTGAGAGTGCCTTTAAAATATTGAGAAGACTGCATGTAGCTTGCAAGCTTCACCGTGGCAAGAGCTGGCTGCAAAATATAACATAGACGCTCAGTATACCGGAAGGAGCATCTCCACCCCCATTGTTCAGCCTGGACACTGAGGTCCAGTGCCGAATGGTTCTGGTGGTTCCCTCACTGCGAGAAGTGAGGTTACAGGGAACCAGGCAGAGGGCCTTCTCGGTAGTGGCACCCGCCCTGTGGAACTCCCTCCCATCAAATGTCAAGGAAACAGACTACTATCTGACTTTTAGAAGACATCTGAAGGCAACCCTGTATAGGGAAGTTTTTAATGTTTGGTGTTTTATCGTGTTTTTAATATTCTGTTGGGAGCCACCCAGATTGGCTGTGGAGACCCGGTCAGATGGGTGGGGTATAAGTAAATAATAATAATAATAATAATAATAATAATAATTTGTGGGCTCAGGGAGGCACCGCCCTGCATAATCGATAACATGCACAACCACATCATTTGAATGGCAATGGCCATCAACCTTGGAGGGCCCCCGCCCCTTCAAATATTTTATGGGGGAGGGTGAAGGGACCTCGACCCCTAGGAATTGGCTCCTATGTCTGGGGGGGGGGTATCTCCCCTTCTCCACTCCCTCTCCACCTCCATCTGTAGAGCCTGCCCCTATGGAATCACCAGGGACCTCCTTGGGTCTCAGTTTGGGTCTTGAAATTTCAGGGCAACAGATATTCCTGAACTGGCTACTTTACCGTTTAGTCTTCCATTGCTGGTTGTACTAAGGAGGACTTTTTGCAACTATCTTCTGTACTATTATGAAAACCTGCGTATGCCAGCACCAATATAACAACAGAAAATACCATTATTATTATTATTATTTTGTAAAAAGTATGAGCTCTGTTCAATGAGAAGTAGACATGAGTACCTCTTCCTCTCTGAAAAAGGTGTCACCTATGCAAGCTTTAATATATCCATGGAATGCCGCAAATGAGCCGTGTCAGCATATTGCAGAAACAGGAAGCGGCAGAGGCCCCATTGCTGCAAAGCTACTGGGTACCAACACTGTAGCTGCCACCCTGGTTTGACGTCTGCCCTACCAAGCACTTAGCATCTTTGTTGATCCAGCCCTGATCCTAATCTAGTTGCCTCAGCAAAATCCTAGGACATTTGTCCTACTTCTGCCAGCTGGTGACACGGTGGCAATCTGTCATTAGCAGCTCTAGGTTCAGGATCAAAGACTACGTAGATCAAACTGCGGGGTTTGCCCTCTCACCCCAGGGGCAGGAAGGGTGGCGAAGGAGGCTCAGCGGAAGAATGTGACCAGGTGCCTTTTTAAATCCACCTTGAACATGTCGGTGGTGCTTAGGAGCAAACTTATTCAGCAAGTCAGGAATTATACATATTGGTGTGTGCTCAGAGCGAACCGCTGAAATGAATAAATCCAAGTTAGTCATGTCCATACTTCAATAAGTCAACTCTGTGTAGGATTAACATTGGTCACATCCCTAGGCACCAAAGTTCCCATTTATTTTCTAAGGGGAAGCCCTTAAAGCTTCAAATTAAAGCATGGACAGGTGCCATAATAATAATAATAATAATAATAATAATAATAATAATAATTTATTATTTATACCCCGCCCATCTGGCTGAGTTTCCCCAGCCACTCTGGGCGGCTTCCAATCGAGTGTTAAAAACAATACAGCATCAAATATTAAAAACTTCCCTAAACAGGGCTGCCTTCAGATGTCTTTTAAAGATAAGATAGCTGCTTATTTCCTTCACATCTGAAGGGAGGGCGTTCCACAGGGCGGGTGTCACTACCGAGAAGGCCCTCTGTCTGGTTCCCTGTAACCTCACTTCTCGCAATGAGGGAACCGCCAGAAGGCATATAAGTGTGGCACTGGGAAATAAGTAAATAATTCAATTCAAACCTAGAAATGGGGGGAGAAAGCTGGAGAGTCCTTGTGGCTCCAAGGAGATCCTCACCGGAGCCCAAAGAGGAAGTCAGTGAGGTCCGAGGAAGCCCCGAAGAGATTGGAAGTGCAGTGGGGCTATGTTTACGTTGCCCAGCCTCCCCGCCTAACAGCTGGTGTGAGGGTTGCGCAACAGCAGCAACCTCTTTCCCACACGTCCTGCAGCCTCTTGCTGCCTCCAGAGCTTCAATTCTAGTTGTGGATATTTTTGGATACAGTATTTTTGGTATCGATTGAAGAGAGAGTGGCAGAGAGGGCATTTAAAGGGTGTTTGGTGCTCCCCACTTTATGCAATTTCAATAATAATAATAATAATAATAATAAATTTTATTTATACCCCGCCCTCCCCAGCCAGAGCTGGGCTCAGGATGGCTAACACCAATAACATTTCAGTAAAAACATAATAGGAAAAAAACCACAATTTAAAATACAGGTTAAAATGTGATTTAAAATGCAGCCTTATTTTAAAATTAGCCCATAGATCAAAACCATAAGGGGAGGGAAACATAAGGGTCAGACTAGGTCCAAACCAAAGGCCAAGCAGAACATCTCTGTCTTGCAGGCCCTGCAGAAAGATGTCAAGTCCCGCAGGGCCCTAGTCTCTTGTGACAGAGTGTTCCACCAAGTCGGGGCCAGTACTGAAAAGGCCCTGGTCCTAGTTGAGATCAATCTAACCACCTTGTGACTACGTGGGTCCTAGGCCCGTAACGTAACCCCTGCATAAGTGGGGGAATGCCTCTCTCTCTCTCTCTCTCTCTCTCTCTGCACAACACAATACTCCTGGCAACCTGTTTACTGAGCATTCATCCTGATTCATTTGCACAAAGCTTAAGGGAAGGTTATGCCCAGTCTTTAATGGGTATTTATTCTGATTTGCTTCCATGGTGATTACACATTTCCCCATTACTCGTTCATTCAACTCCCACTTTTCATTATATTTGCGCATCACTTTCCTAACAGCAAAAAAGTCTCTCTCTCTCTCTGTTTTTTTTTTTTAAGTGGACTTGTTGCACTAGGGTGATGGAGCTCTTCAATTCACTTCAACTGGACAAACTTAAATTTCCAATATGC